TCGTCGCTGACCAATTCTGAGATTATGTACAGATCATATTTTACTTGCAATTGTTATATTTGATATTATTCAAAGTAGGGGTGACAATATAACGGTATTGGTGATAGCCACAATATTTAAAATGAACAGGACTCTTATGATAACACGACAAGTGCCAGTACCTGGTTGACCTCCCAGGTGTCAGTATTGCGCCTTAACGCTGATACCTGTCCAACAAGATGATGATGCAGTGCGCAGCTACCAAAGCCACTAGAAGGCAAGCTTGCAACCATTAGCCAAAAAAGTGTAATGGCTAAAGCTAACGTTTCCGGTCTGGCAGTATGTGGGAAAGGAGACCGTTTTTTTTATTGAATGTATGTCAATGGAGGAGAGGCTTCACTACGCTGAATAAACAGCTTTTTAGAGGAAACAGCTCTTCATTTAAAGGGATAGTTCACCCAAAAATGAAAATGTGATGTTTATCTGCTTACCCCCAGGGCATCCAAGATGTAGGTGACTTTGTTTCTTCAGTAGAACACATATGATGATTTTTAACTTTAACCGTTGCAGTCTATCAGTCGTATAATGCATGGCAATGGTAAAACAAATCTATGAGAGTAAAAAAAACATGTACAGACAAATCCAAATTAAACCCTGCGGCTCGTGACGACACATTGATGTCCTAAGACACGAAACGATCGGTTTGTGCCAGAAACCGAACAGTATTTATATCATATTTTACCTCTAATACAGCACTATGTCTAACTGCTTTGAGCGCGCGCACGGACACCGGATGCCGTGCGCTCGCTCAAAGCAGTTAGACATAGTGGTGTATTAGAGGTCAAATATGATATAAATACTGTTCGGTTTCTCGCACAAACCGAGCGTTTCGTGTCTTAGGACATCAATGTGTCGTCACGAGCCGCAGGGTTTAATTTGGATTTGTCTGTGCATGTTTTTTTTACTCTCATAGATTTTGTTACCATTGCCAAGCATTATACGACTGACAGACTGCAACGGTTGGAGTTCAAAATCTCCGTTTGTGTTCTACTGAAGAAACAAAGTCACCTACATCTTGGATGCCCCGGGGGTAAGCAGATAATTATCACATTTTAATTTTTGGGTGAACTATCCCTTTAATGAATCGACAGGCTATCTGCTAATCTTCAACATGTTTTACACTAAACAATACTTTTGGATTGAACTATTTTTATTTTTTTTAATAAGAGTTTACCACGAAAAATATCCCGTTTTATTAGAAAAGTCACTGACTTTTTGCGACAGGTGGGATTCAGCTTACGGCATTTCCCATTAATTCCTATGGTATCCGTAAATGGCGATTGAGTGTCGCACAACTCAATGACGTCAAGGCTGTAATGTGATTGGTTATTAAGGCACACGTGATCCAAGTTAGACTGCATCATGAACTTAAAGTAAACAGCTTTGTAACATTCACACACGCACTGCACAACAAGGGGAAAAATGCATTTCAAATGCGCGTTGAAAATTTCCTCATTTGGTCAGCAATAATGAAGTCGTTGTGTACCTCCTATACCCTTTTCCAGGTACCATTTGGCTTTCTTCTTGTCACATGTGCAGAGCGGCTGGCCATCGGGAGCATGAAGGAAACAGTTATCATAAAGGGGTGATTTCCTGAATCAAGACAAACAGCACAACAGTCACACAAAGGACTTCAGATTCGAATATCCAAAGCATGTCAAATTTGATCCGAATATCCAAAGCATGTCAAATTTGATCCGAATATCCAAAGCATGTCAAATTTGATCCGAATATCCAAAGCATGTCAAATTTTAATACTTTGTGCAAGAGATTTCTTGAAAGATTAGTCATGTATTTTATTATCTTTAATCAGATATATTTTCATCATGACTCAAACACCTTCTTCTTTACCTGGCAGAGTAACCAACACCCAGTGGTTTACGTTTGTTCCGCCGCGGGTCTGGAACTTGCTGGTCTCCAGACTCGGGACTCTCCACGGTGGACTTTCGACTTCGCCTCCTTCTCTCCCCTTCTTCCCCCTCTCCGTTATAGCGCGCCCTGAAGGGCACGTCCACCAGCCCCTGGCAGCATGATGCCAGCTGGACGAACACGCTTTCACCCTCAGCGGGGAGCCGGGGCTCGGTGTTCATCCCCAGCAGGTGAAAAAACAGGGCAACAGAGATCTGCGCATCATGTGCTGCATAGACCATCTGGTGGATACAGTATGTCAGAGAGTTTAGTGTACTGACACAGTTTCACTACACAGTCTATTCCAGCTGGGTATTACAGAATATTTGTAAGGCATTGCTGACAATATAAAATTCAAATCAACAGTGAATATCACAATGATTTTGTTGTGCAAATATTAAAACCACCAAGATTTAACGGCATGCCTTATTTTTAACTAGATTCATTATGTATTTGACTTTTTAAAACTACGTGACAGGAACAACTGTATGATTGGAAAACAAGTAATAATAAAGTAATAATAAAAATGGTTTCCTCAATTTGAGCGGTTCAAAACTCACTTGTAACTTTTTTTAGATATGCAATCTGAATGAAAAACTTCATTTGATAAATTAAGTGGTCAAAAAGTCACACCTTGTGAATGGGAAAGTCCAATACTGGGCAAAACTGTATTGGTCATACAGTGTATAAATAACCTAAAATCCTAAATCAATTGCATAACTGTGTTATTACTACTTCAGTAAGCTATAACGTTAAACAACAACAAGTTAAACTCTTGGTGTTCCCGGTCAAAAATGACCTGAAATGAGCCAAGCTGTGACCCTTTCTGAATACCGTGAAATGGAAAGATACTGCTATAAATCTGAAGCTCCATCAGAGGATCTCCTCCTCACCTGTTCTTGGGTCAACACATCCGCCTCCCAGTCACTGCAGCGCAGCTCCAGAGATTTGTCCAGCGTGATGTTTAGCAGATCTGCAGCCAGAGACTTCAGACTCAAGCCGTTATTCAGCACCGCTTGCCTTCAACACAATCCAGATCACCTCAGGTCACACCACAAGTGCTTTAAAGTCTTACTGAGGTTTGAGTTTATGACATTTAGAGACACCTGGTAGCAACTATAACTATCCACCTTATTTACTTGAACAAATTCAGAACTGATTGAGCTGATAAAGACACCAACGACAGTGTTAGTGAACTGAATTCAATCAACACTGAACTAAATTGAGCAGAGTAATGACACTATTCTTCTGTAGAGCTGCTTTTCAGATGAAATTTAATTAGTTTCATAATTCCTGAATTTTACAGAATTAACATTTATTTTCCTTTAATGTGAGCTGTTCTGAAACAATCGATATTGTACGCAAATGTGCCTTGATTTGATCATTTATTGATACTAGGGTTGCACGATTTAGTGGGGGGAAAAAATCTAACCGCAATTTTTCTGCTAAAAAATAAAATTGTGATTGTGACTTAAAATGCATTTTTTTAAAGCTTATCATAATTATAATAAACAAAATATTAAAAACAAAATAATGTAAAAATATATTTCACTGCAAATAAAAAAGTATTTAATAATAATAATTTTGGAAATCACCATGAGGTGCTTGCATGTAAATGAACAGAGTGCTGTGCTTCACTTAAACATACAACATTAAAATAATGGTCTTAGTTTTTTCAGAATTGCACTAAGCAATGCTGGGTTTTAGAGTGGCACGATTCTTGATAAATTGAGAATCACAATTTTTTTTTCTCAAATAGAGATCCTGAGTCTCCCATGATTCTGAACAAAACAAAATAATGTGTGACAAAATATTCATTGCTGCAGTCTACTTAAAAGTGCTTCATTTGAATGAATTAAATGCATATAAAATATAATAGCCTATATTTAATAACATTTTTAATATTAAAATTATGAAAAAGTGGTTTGAACGAATGATTCAATGACTCACTCATAAATACTTCACTTGTTTCATTACTGGATGAATATGTGTTTTTGAACAAATCTCTTGAATGAATGATTCAATGACAAATAAATTTTTTAAAAGTCACTTGTCGCCACCTAGTGGCGAAACAATGCAATTGACATTATCTGAAGCGCCTGCTTTTAACTTTAATTGAACGCTACCATAGACAATCTTTATATTCGAACTTTCATCCCAGTATTTCTGTGACTGTAAGACAGAAACAATACTGCGTAGTTTATTTGAATGTTTCGTTATGACTTTTGCAAAGGTTTAATAGACACGGGCAAACTGTTGTCATTTAGAAATTAGATTGTGTGTGTGTTTGAATCGAGACTGCGAGCTTTTAATAAATAATAGTGCAGCTCTACTGGGTTTATTTCGATAAACTGTGCAGCTCTAATAGATAGTAACATTTAAAACTTGACTATGAAGTCTTGGATCAAACTGGGGCATTACCTCTGTCTGAGGGCCAGGTAGCGCAGGTCCACAGTGCAACTCAGAGTCAGACCATGATCATGAGTCAGCCGTTTCCCATCCTCATAACATCCCACCCCGACCTTCAGCACACGGGGGTCAGAGAGGACCCCGACGAGACCCTCAGGGAGAGGAAGCTGTGCATTACGAAACGTCAGCAGTCTGACCAGCACACAGCGGCCAGAGAACGTCGCCAGCTGGAGTAAGGAGACCGCCGAGGCCTTGCCTTTGACAGACACCTGTGAAAGCAGACAACATCGTCTAGTGCTGCCGCTACGAATGCAATGTTTAAACTAGAGGTCGACCGATGTGTTGGTTTTGTCGATTAATCGGCACCGATAGTTGATTGCTGTAACTATCGGTTATCGGCAAAAATCCATGCCGATAGTTTTCCGGGTTGCGTCCATACATATTCTGTTACACCAAATACACAAAATAATGATCTTTAAAATAGCATCATATGACCCCTTTAATATAAAAATTATTTCAAGTATTCAATTTATTTATTTATTTTTAGTTAACGATAATAACCCTGATGCCAAGGATTACCACCTGCTGTGAAACTAGATATTTGGACCAGCAACCTCTTTAAAAAGATTTTATTTTTTTTTATAAAAAGCTGCTAAAAGTACCAGGTATACCACACAGGCATGCCTGCTTCAGCAGTGCTGAACAATAATTTACATCTGAATAATGACACTGGAAAAAATTGAATAGTCATTCAACTGAAAATACACAACAGAAAACAGAATAATTATTATTCCAACTCATCATACCTGACCAATTATAGATAATTAATTCATTAAGTCCCTCTCTTTACCCATTTCATATGCAGGCATATTGATATTGTAACAGTCCCTGTCCCATACGATGCTGCCGTCCCTGTGCAAGTGCAAATCATACAATAGAATAATTCATAAATCAAACATTTTTCAAGATGATGTTTCAGAAGGCTGCAGCATCTCTTTTGCCTCCTTTGAGCTCACTGTGAGATCCTTGAGCACGCAAGAGCTTGGAGTTCATGGGCCAAACATCTCACGATGAAGTTTATTTAGAATCCTCAGTTGCAAAACAATCACAGACGTTAGATACAAGAACACACAGAAAATCATGAATCCTGTATGTGGAACAGAAGCACACAGAACCGCTTTCCTCTACCACCAATGTTTTATTCAATCTTTTAGATTAAACTTTCCGTAAAGAATTGGAATAATACAATGCAATACTTACAAAATGGAATCAAAACCTAAAAACAGGACCGATCATCTTTACGTCTGATAAAACAAAAGGGTTGATGGGATTGCATGAAAAGCAGGGGAAAAAATTCACTGCAATCATTGTAGAGTTGGAAACACAGGTAATTTCAAGACATCATAGCTCACTAACGCCACAGACTGATGTCACATCAACCGTAAGTGGCCAAATTATCGATTGGTACAGTGCTTGTGCTAAAATGAGAATCTTCTTATCGAAATAAAATAAAAGTGGCTTGACAGATGACATTGTCAATAGTGTTAAAATTCATAAAAAAATTTGCTAAAAAATGATAACGATATGTAGGCAATAGAAATCAAAGTACTCGTATTATAGTACAAAAATAAGGTTAAAATGACAGCATGAAAGACAGATAACATTGTCTGGGACCTGTGTGATTTAAAGATCCTCGAACCCAGTCTGGGTCCATATGGATTATCTATTTACAAAAGATGAACATCCAAACTATGCATGGTGGCCAGAAGACTAAAACTGAATAGAGACGAGAAATGAAAACCGTCCTTTCATGCCAATATACTGTATATATATATATATATATATATATATGCTCTGTTCCTGAATGCACACAAAATAAGCCTGCACCTTTGGAAAGATTATTTACAGCTCTTCAGTTAAATTTCAAAGCTATTTAAAATATACTTAATGCATAAAAATAAAGATTTTGGCATTCTCTCGCTTCTTCCTCTTCTGATTGCGAAGTTCTACAAGAACCTCGTGAACCCGGAAGGTCTGTGAAGTGCCTCGTCCTTCAGGTAGGGAGCAGTCATCCAGCCTGCTAGGGGGCGCTGTGAGAAGGGTTAGTCGGGGTAGAGGGAGTACTGAACAATACAGGGTCAACGTTAGAGCATCTAAAGATTCCTTTTACCATCATCTTGTCACTCTAATTAATCTTGGACATAAATGCGCCATAAATGCCAGAAGTTGTACTCGCTTCGTTTCTGGGGGGCACCTTCATTAACCCCCTTGTCTCCATTTGTTCATGTCACAAGCCAAAACCAGACACAGACGAACAGACAAAAAAAATCGAAAGACGGAGATATGGAGCTGAAGTGGTTTGCGGGGTCGTTCCCTCTATAGTCATCTCTCCATGAACATGAATATCCATTGCATTGTCCTTCAGCGTCGCTTTGTGTGCACTGTGTGTCCTTAGAGTTGGATCTCAAACGTTTTATGGAGCTCGGTGGAGAAGGGGTTTGTGGGTGATGGAGCGGTGCGTTGCTGCGAGCGGCTCTCCAGTGCGGCCCACTGGGCCTCGAAGGCATCGGCCTGTTGCTGCACTGCCACAGACTGCGCAGGTGACGACACTGCCGCCCAGCTGTTAGCCCCATTAAATGTGGCATTGACTTTCGGTGGCTGCAGCACTGTGGCATTTGTCACCGGAGGTAGGAGTGGTTTGCCGAAGGGGCTGCACACCGCCTGGGTGTCAAACTGGCCTGTTGGTGGTGTGGAGAAGGGTGAAGACTGGAGCTGCGCCTGGGGCACTTGAACAGGTACCGGGATGGGCTGAGTTTGCGTGGCAGAACCGAACACGTTGGCCACCATCTGCGAAGGTGTAATGCCAACCACCGGAAAGGTTGGTTGCACAAATGGGATTCCATTGGACACTGGGAAGGACGCCGGCGCCTGAGCATGGAAAGCCGACTGGCGTGGGGGTACGGTAGGGACCGCAGATGGAGGGATTCCTGGCATGAAGGGTGCAGAAGGGCCAGATGTCATAGGGGTGGGGGCTGGGGAGGGGAAGGGCTGCTGAGTGGGAGGCGTGTTGGTTCTCGTGACGGCTGCGGGTTGGTGGGCTCGCACAGACTTGGTCACCTCCTCCAGCCAGCGGTCGGCTTCCGATGGCGTACGTTTGTGAGAGGAGGCAAGTGTAGAAAGATTTGCATTGACGGTGGGTAGGGCTCCTGCTGCGGGTGTAGGATTTGGCCACTCGCTCCCTACAGGACACAAGAAGAAGAGTTTTGGTCAGCATCCCATTTATTCTGGTAAACAGTTTAGAGCAGGGATCCTCAACTCTGGACTTCGAGATCTACCTTCCTGCAGAGTTTAGCTCCAACCTGGATTAAACGCACCTACCTGCAACTTTGTAGTAATCCTGAAAACCTTGATTAGCTTGTTCAGGTGTGTTTGATTAGGGCTGGAGCTAAACAGGATCTTAAGGTTCAGAGTTGAGGCCTCTTGGTTTAGAGCAGGGGTGTCCAAACTGTTTAAAATTCTACATGTCACATTTATTGTCCAACTACAAATATTTCAGTGAAATGTATATTTTAGTCAGAATTATTGCGCTCCTATTTAATTGAGCTGTTTGTTTGGCACGCGTGCGTGCGGCAGCACTCGTTCACTGAGGTCTAGCAGAGACGTTTAGCGGAGAATCTCAAAGCAGAAGGCTCATGCACTTCTGACAGAAAAATGGAAATATTTCCATGGCTTTCTAACATTTACAGATGGAGAATATACCTGTGAAATGTAAGTTATGCATTCAGGAAGACATCACATCTCAAACACATTAAACGGCGCAAGAAGCCTAGTGTCTCTGTCAGCGGCACACGCAGCCTTTCTATCAGAGCATATGACGGGCTGCCGAGCCGCTTAAATTAATATGCCAAACTAAACTATAATAAATAATGTCTTACCAGTTTTTAAAGGCCTTAATATGAAGCTTGTCACATGTTTAGAACAAATTGGATTATGCACTTTCTCTGCAGCAGCTCAGTCTGTGTCCTCCGCTATATTTTCAGATGCGCTCGTATCAAACTACTGTATAAAAAAAATATCGATATATCGTACAAACTCGATATACCGCCCAGCCCTAATTGGTAGGTCTATTAGTAAAATCTATTGATTTTAGAAATTTTTTGTTTCATTATATGCCAACATTGACGGTTAAAAAATGTTTGCATGCCTGTAACTCAAGAGGTATACTGCAAAAAATGCTTTTCTAGCTTAGATTTTTTTGTCTTGTTTCCAGCCAAAATATCTAAAAATTCCTAAATCAAGAAGGATTTTCTAGACAAGTAAACATTATTGTCTTGTTTTCAGAAAAAAGTCAAAATTAAGCGAGTTTTTGTTTTCTGTTTGAAATAAGATTATTTTGCTTACCCCATTGGCAGATTATTTTGCTTGTTTCAAGAAAATCCTTGTCTAGAAAATCCTTCTTGATTTAAGAATTTTTAGATATTTTGGCTGGAAACAAGACAAAAAAAATCTAAGCTAGAAAAGCATTTTTTGCAGTGTAAAGCTATCTTAATATCCTTTTAGATATTCGATTTTAGGTTCTTAACAAACTTTCCTTTTGGTATCTTCATTTTAAAGGCCCTCAATGATTCATTCCCAGAGATATGAAGATCTTAATGCAATTTTCAAAAACCAAATGTGGGTCATTTTGCATACAGCTGATACATTAAAAAAAAAAAAAAGAATATCTAAAGAACATATAATGTTGAAACTAGAAATGTCTCTTGATTTTCTATCTGAATATTTCTATCTGAGTGCCATAAATATTCTTTTTCTAAAGTTTACATGCCTGTAACTCAAAGTATTCATGATATTTTACCATCCTTCTAGATTCTCATTCTAAATAATCTTTCCTTTTGAAATCTTATTTATACGGCCCTATATGGTTGACTCCATGTCCAATTTTTTTAATTTTACCCATTTTCAATGATCAATAACCAAATGTAGGTATGTGGATTAAATGTGGATTACTCCGTAAGTACACATCAACAACATTTAATATTTTGTCTTTCATCACTATACATGTTTATCTTTCTTCAGAAAAAATATTGACAAAATCTAAAATTTGAGGCGGGGACCTCTGGTTGAGTTGACACGGAATGACCCTACAGCATAAATAGACTATGACCGTGACTGTCTGCTTAGTTGCCAACTACAGTCAGCACCTAAAATAAAGCAATTCTGATGCATGCTTACACTTGTAAAGTCACTGAAAAGCAGTTTGATGCAACAGCTGCTCACAGTGGTATAGCCTTACATTACGACCAAAATTAGTTTCTCAGCAACTATTCTGCATGGTCAGCACTTCCTTTGGCAGGAAGCCCAGCTCTTACCTATGTGTGCTGTAGTGGGGGTGGTGTTTGGGGTCTTGGCCCAGGGGTTAGTCTCTCGGACAGGCAGCGGGGGCGGCAGCACGGGTGAGTTAGCTGCAGAAGTTACAGTGACACTAGGCGGCGGGAAGGCAGGAACTGCACCATTAACTACAGCAGCAGACAGGACGTGAAGATTAGAGACAGATCACTGTAGTACCTCAGTACAAGTGGGAGATCATCTCTTCCTCTTTACTACTAGTTATAGCATGAAATAAACATGAATGAACATCAGAAGCTGTTGAAATAAACAGAACAACTTACTGAAATGTATCATGTCTCATGTAATCACTTAATCAGTGTTTCAACCACAGAAAGATGTCAAATAAACAAATTGTAAACAATGTTTTTGCTACAGCTAGCGTTCGAATGAATATATTTAAAAAAACAAATTGTAGACACATAATTATATCATTAAAAACTTGCATTCTTTTAAAGTTTTAATATTTATTATAAAACTACCTTAATGTGCAATTTAATTGTTTGTATACAAATCAGCTGTTAATTTTAACCTTTAATATTATAGTGTTATATGTAGGGCTGGGTATCGAGTTCGATACTTTTTAGGCACCGACCGAATTGCCTCGATACCATCGAGTATCGAAAAACGTCTCGTCGTTCGGTACCAAATTTCGATACCTAAGGGGTTAATCTCATCAGTGTCAGTGAGCCAATAAGCCTGCAGCACTAGCCGGTGTGTTCGACTAGAAGAGGTGCGGAGCAGATTGATCATCCACGAGAGTGATTCGAAAGCGCACGGAGCAGTCTGCTCTCTTTAGCTCTCGTGGTACTGGAATACACCGATCACTCTGCACAGTCGGTCTGCGTCAAGTTGAACACACCTACTAGTTAACACCGGTTACACTCAGAGATGTGGCACACACGTGAGGCTGTAATGTGAATGTGTCCCAGCCCCCATAGATGTAAGGCTACATTTACACTGCTGCGTTTATGTTTTAAAATGAAAACGATCCTCGTCATACTGGCGTTTCAAGCCGCCTTTCCACTATCTCAGACAAACGACATTCATTTCCAATGGGGAGTAGCGCGGGAGTTGCGTGGAGTTCCGATCATATGCAGATGTCCGTTCATACTAATGTTACACGACCGAA